ATACAGCAGAATATTTGCTGAAATTGTAGAAGATTGTAAAACATGAATATGCAGAATTCTAACACAATACAGAAAGCTTAAAATGAGTGAGAAATATGAGTTGCCTCTCACAAAGCGCTCTTTTAACGTCACTAGCTTGATGTTAAATGTTCCTCACTTAAGAGGAACCAATTTCATGCATGAGATATTCCTTATAAACTCCTCTCCATGATAGACCTTCAATCTTTGGCCATTAACCTTGAATTCTCTCCCTGTCTTTCGATCCTCAATCATAATTTCTCCAAAGGGAGATGTTTCCTTGATCAGAAAAGGTCTAGACCATCTTGATCTAAGTTTCCATGGAAATAGTTTTAATCTGGAATTAAACAACAACACTTGCTGTCCAGGTCTGAATTCTCTTTGTAGAATGAATTTGTCATGAATTCTCTTGGTTCTCTCTTTGTACAACTTTGCATTCTCATAAGCTTGCTGTCTAAACTCCTCCAATTCATGCAATTGCATAATTCTCTTTTGTTCAGTACTTGGTAAATCAAAGTTCAACCACTTAGTAGTCCAATAAGCTCTGTGCTCCAACGCCAAAGGTAAATGACATGCCTTTCCAAAGACTAATTGATATGGTGACATACCAATTGGAGTTTTAAAAGCAGTTCTATATGCCCATAGGGAGTCATCTAGTTTCTTTGACCAGTCTTTTCTTGAACTACTCACTACTTTCTCTAAAATCTGCTTGATTTCTCTATTTGACACTTCCACTTGTCCACTTATTTGTGAATGATATGGAGTAGCAACCTTGTGCTTCACACTATACTTCATTAGTATTGCTTCAAGGTGTTTGTTGTAGAAATGAGCACCTCCATCACTTATCAAGAATCTGGGTACTCCAAATCTTGCAAACATATTTCTTCTTATAAAAGAGATCACAACCTTGGCATCATTTGTTCTTGTGGGAATGGCTTCCACCCATTTAGAAACATAATCCACTGCCACTAAGATGTATTCATGAGAGAATGATGGGGGAAAGGGTCCCATGAAGTCAATTTCCCATACATCAAACAATTCCACTTCTAGAATATTTGTCAATGGCAGCTTATGCCTCCTAAAGATGTTGCCTGTCCTTTGACACTTATCCCAACTTTCAACATACTTCTTGGCATCTTTGAAAAGTGTAGGCCAAAAGAAGCCTACTTGTAGTACCTTTGCAGCAGTACTTGAACATGTATGGTGGCCTCCATATTCTGAGTTGTGGCAACGCCATAATACCTCAGATTGTTCATTTTGTGGAATGCACCTCCTAATTAGACCATCTACCCCAATCTTGAACAAATAAGGGTCTTCTCACACATAGAATTTGCTGTCATGTAAGAACTTCTTCTTTTGCTACCAAGTGAACCTCTCTGGGATGAATTGAGTAGCCTTAAAGTTTGCAATGTCAGCAAACCAAGGCATCTCTTCTACTACAAGAAGCCTTTCATCTGAAAATTCTTCATTAATTTCTAAGGAGTTAGGGTTTAGACTTTCCAATGGAAGTTTGGATAGGTGATCAGCTACCCCATTTTCCTTTCCCTTTTTATCTCTAATTTCCAGCTTAAATTCCTGCAGCAGCAAAATCCATCTCAGCAACCTTGGTTTGGCATCCTGCTTTGACAACAAGTATTTAAGTGCAGAATGGTCAATATATACAATAACTTTTGATCCCATCAAATATGATCTGAATTTGTCAAAGGCAAACACAATAGCAAGGAGTTCTTTTTCTGTGGTTGTGTAATTCACTTGTGCTGGATTTAAAACTTTGCTAGAATAGTAAATGACATACAATTTCCTATCCTTTTTCTGTCCTAAAACAACACCCACTGCACTATCACTTGCATCACACATTAGTTCAAAAGGCAAATTCCAATTAGGTTTTGCAAGAATAGGTGCAGAAATTAGTTTTTCTTTCAAAACAGAAAATGCATATAAACAAGCATCATCAAATATAAAATCAACATCTTTCACAAGTAGATCACTAAGAGGTTTTGCAATTTTAGAAAAGTCTTTGATAAACCTCCTGTAAAAACCAACATAACCTAAAAAACTCCTAACTCTTTTAACATTAATTAGTGGAGGCAGTTTACTAATAACTTCAACTTTTGCTTGGTCCACCTCCATTCCTTTTTCTGAAATCTTATGGCCAAGAACAATGTCTTCTTGTACCATGAAATGACATTTTTCCTAATTTAATACAAGGTTAGTGTCTTGACATCTCTGCAAAATAGTGGATAGATTAGCTAAGCAATCATCAAATGAATCACCAAAAACAGAAAAATCATCCATAAACACTTCAATGATGTTTTCTACCAAATCAGAAAAAATGGAAAGCATACACCTTTGAAAGGTGGCAGGAGCATTGCACAATCCAAATGACATTCTTCTATATGCAAAAACTCCAAATGGACATGTAAATGCAGTCTTCTCTTGATCCATAGGGTCCACTGCTATTTGGTTGTATCTTGAATATCCATCAAGGAAACAATAGAAAGAATGTCTAGCAGTCTTTCCAGCATTTGGTCAGCAAATGGTAGTGGGAAATGGTCTTTTCTAGTTGCATCATTTAACTTTCTATAGTCAATACACATGCGCCAGCTAGTAATAGTTCTAGTAGGGATGAGTTCATTCTTCTCATTAGGTACAACTGTCATCCCTCCTTTCTTAGGGACAACTTGGACTGGACTCACCCATTGGCTATCAAAAATTAGATAAATGATCCCTGCATCTAGCAACTTCATGACTTCTTTCTTGACTACTTCTTTCATGGCTGGGTTCAACCTTCTTTGTGGCTGCACAACTGGCTTAAATTTCTCTTCAAATAGAATTCTATGTTTACAAAAAGAAGGATTTATACCTTTCAGATCTGAAATACTCCAGCCAATTACAGATTTGTGTTTTCTCAGAATTCTTAGTAGCTTTTCCTTTTCTTCCTCCTTGAGATCATTGTTGATGATGACTGGATTTTCGTGACTCTCATCCAAGAAAGCATATCTCAAGTTAGATGGTAGTTGCTTGAGCTTTAGTTTCTGATTTTGATCTTCTTTCATTTCTTTCTTTTTCAAGTCCTTTTTAACTGAGTTTTCTGCAGGATTCAGAATTGGTAGGGCTTTTAATTATTGCTCAATTTCCATCATTTGTTCTGTTTTACAAATCTCAGAATTTGTATTTCTTACAGCTATGGTTTCTCTCAACACAGAATTTTCATCAAGTTCATTAATAGGATAGTGTGTAATAATAAAATCCAAAATGTCTACTCTCATGCATGTATTATCTTCAATTGGATATTTCAAAGCTTCAAAAACATTAAACACTACCTTCTCATCTTGAACTCAAAGCATAAGTTCTCCTTTCTGCACATCTATTAGAGCTCTCCCTGTTGCAAGGAATAGTCTTCCTAGGATCAAGGGAATATTAGCATCCACCACCATGTCCAAGATGACAAAATCTGCAGGAAAAATGAACTTATCAACTTTAACCAATAAATCTTTAACTACTCCATAAGGATAAGTGTATGATCTATCTGCTAGCTGTAGTGTGATGTTGGTGGGCTTCACTTCTTCTATGCCTAATTTCTTCATGATAGCTAAAGGCATCAAGTTTATGATTGCTTCCAAGTCACACAATGTTTTTCCAATAGTGCACTGTCCTATTTCACATGGAATGCTGAATGATCCTAGATCTTTGAGTTTTTGAGGAAGCTTTCTTTGAAGAATGGCATTGCACTCCTCTGTCAAGGTACTGTTTTGTCATGCTCTAGCTTCCTTTTTTTGGAGAGTAGTTCTTTCATAAACTTTGCATTTGAAGGCATCTGCTCCAAAGCTTTTGCAAAAGGAATGTTAATTTGTACTTTCTTAAAACCATTCATAAACCTTTCAAATTGTTCTTCTTGTTTAGGATTTTGAACCCTTAGAGGATAAGGCAGCCTCTTGTATTTTTCTGGATCTATTGGCTTGCAAGCATCTTCAAAGAGTTGCTTCTTGGTTTTCTTCTCAGAATTCATAGGAACTTCTACTTTTTCTTCTGAATGATCTTTCTTCAATAGCTTAAAATTTCCTTATTGCAGATCTTGTTCAATTTTCCTCTCTGCTGCTTTGTCATTAACTTTCTTTCCTGCAGCTTTTGAACTTGCAACTATAGCTCCACTTCTTCTAGTGATGGCTTGACATTGCTCCTTAGGATTGATCACTGTATTGCTTGGAAATCTTCCTTCATCCCTGCTGGATAATTGTTTAGCTAACTGTCCAATTTGGGTTTCCAACTTCTTCATAGAAGCTTCTTGATTCTTGAAGCTTGTTTGGGTCACCTTCATAAACTGTAGCATGGTTTACTTCATCTCAGTCAACCTTTCATTCATAGGTTTAGAAAATTTCTGAGTTCCTTGAGGTTGAGCGGATGGATTCCTCTGAAAATAAGACTGTTGTGTTGCTGGACTTGTATTAGAAAAAGGTAAATTGGAGTTAGAATTCTTGGCAGCAGAATATTGATTATTCCAATTAGAATACTGCTGACTTCTATTATTCGAAAAGTGAAATCCAGGAGGATATGAGGATTGTTGTCTCTAAAAATTATTCATATAATTCACTTGTTCCTGTGGTTCACTTGTAGATGTCTTACATGCACCATTTGCATGGTTTCCTCCATAGAAACCACAGCTTAGCTAACTGGCAGGCATACTCCCTGCTTGAAGGTTGCAGATTTGTTGAGATATGGCAGTTATTTGTTCTGAAAACATATGATTTTGTAGCTGGTTCTGTGTAAGAAAGGTTTCCAAAACCTTAGCTTCATATCCAGTGTTTCTTCCTTAATTTCTTGAGTTTGAATTTTGGTACATTGAAGATGCCATCATCTCAATAATTCTTTGGGCTTCTTCTAAAGACTTTGTGTTTAAGGAACCTCCAGCAACAGCATCTACCATTGTTCTTGTTAATGTATTCATTCTATTATAGAAGGTTTCCAATTGCATCCAGTCTGGAATACAATGATGTGGACACCTCCTCAGCAACTCCTTATATCTCTCCCATGCTTCATACAATGACTTTCATTCTTGCTGTACAAATGATGTGATTTCACCCCTTAATTTAGCAGCGTTGGATAGAGGAAAGTACTTGGTTAGAAATTTATTCACTAGCTTTGTCCAAGTTGTGATGCTTCCTTGTGGTTGAGCTTGCAACCAACATTTGGCTCTATCTCTCAAGGAAAAGAGAAATAATCTCAGTCTGATGGCTTCTTCACTAACCTCATTCATTCTGATTGTATCGCATAGCTGCAAAAAATTAGAGATATGTAGGTTAGGGTCATCAGAATTTCCTCCAGAAAACTGATTCTGTTGGACTAAGTGTAATAAGGCAGGTTTAATTTCAAAATGGTTGGCTTGAATAGTTGGCCTAATTATAGAAGAATTAAAACCTTGCATGTTAGGAATTGCATAGTCCCCTAATATTCTAATCCTATTCTATTTTGTCATCTCTATTTCTGGATTTAGTTGTCTCAAATGTGTAGGTGTTCTTATTACTCTAGGAGTGTTTTGAACTTCTGGAGAATAGACAACTTCTAATTCACTATCACTTCCTATGAATTTTTCTGCTCTAGCCTCTTTTCTTAATTTTCTTAAGGTTATGTCTATGTCATGATCAAAGACCAGAGTTGATTTATTTTTGTTTTTACCACGCATATACAAATCAAAATGCAACAAATATAAACTACAACTCAATATTCAGAAATGCACAATAAAGATTATGCAGAAAAATATCAGTAAAAGCATATAAAATTCAATTCTAGCAACTGTAGAATTATGCATAATTGCAAAATCATGCAGAAATTATCTACTAGTATTCTACACTTATCTATTAAAATAAGAACAGAGTAACTTGAATGTAATACTAACTACAAAGAAAATTTAAGAAAACAAGTACTCAATCTAGCAATTTTTCGATTACTAATGATATTGAAACACAAATTTCCCAGCAACAACGCCAAAAAACTTGTTGTTACAATTCTAAACACTAGCAAGTGCACTAGGAATTGCAGCAAGTAATGAGTAATTTTTAAGATCAGAATATCGTTTCCACAGGGAATTAAGAAATCAAGTACCATTCCACAGAACAACAACCAGTTGAGCTAAACAATTTTGGAAGAGTTGTATCATTCAGAAAGTAGGAATTAAAAACAATTAAAAAGTAAGAAACTTGCAGCGAAAACAGAGTATGACAGTTATGTTGAGATGAGACAAGAATGAAAGATAGTTAGGAATTTATTTCACAAGAATGTCAATATTAATTCAATTATGCCTCTGAACGTTCAAGCAATTGGTTAATTGACAATCAGTTTCTCTTATTAATAGTCAAAGTTTAATCCCTTAAATCATTGGCCCTAACAAGCAACTAAACCACCCTAATCCCTTAGGTGAAGTTTAATTTCGAGTTGCATTAAAGCTTAGAACCTTATGATTGCAGAATTAGGTTCCCTTATCCCTAAGAAATTCCTAATTCTGGTTGCTAATTCAAATCAGAGAAGTAAACCCAACTTCCATTGACAAATGTTCCTCTTTGATTAATCATACGAATTTCCATTCAAAGATTGTACTAACAGCAAAATTAACAACTCAATTAATCCAAGAACTCAAATTTCATAAGCAAAAGTTGAATCAATACATCAATTCAAGGTCCATAAACTCCTTACTATGCAGAATTAAGCAAACATTGTAACAGAGAAAGAGAAAGAAGGAGAAGAAGAGAAGAATTGCAAAGAAGCCATCTCCACGAGCTCCAATCCAATGCCTCTTCTTGGAGCTTCAAAATTCGACCACAATCCTCTCTCTCATTCTCTCTCAACGAGAATCTAACAGAAAAAATAGAAAATGAACAAAGGACCCTGAGTTCTGAGCTTAAACAGGTATTTATAGAATCCTAATTTTGTGCGTTATCACTCTTGATGATAAGAGTGGCCATGTAGAGGCTCATGTGGTTTCTGGAAACTGGAACTATCACTTTCGCTGCTAAGAGTTGCAACGCAGGAGGTCGAGTGGTTGTGTGTGATCACTTTCGAAAGCAAGAGGGACCACGCACAACTTCCCTTGATACACTCCTCTCTGGAACATCCACTTTCACTGGTAAAAGTGGTGACGCAGAGCTTGCTGAAATTTTGCCTTCTCTAGAACACTCACTTTCGCTGGTAAGAGTGACCACGTAGAGCTCGTGATGTCTGAGATTTCTGAGAGACTCTCTGGAACACTTATTTTTGCCAGCAAGAGTGTTAACGCACAACATGTTCTTCTGAGGAACTTTCTGGAACACTCACTTTTGCTGGTAAGAGTGACCACGCCCAGACTCCCTTTTTCTTTTAAGCTCTGGAGTGATCACTTTCACTGACAATAGTGATCACGCCCAGCTTGCATTCCATAATTCTTGTGCTTTGAGTCCAGAATTGCTACTCTTCTTCTTCCTTTCCATTGATTTTCCATTTCCATGAACCTTGCTCAGATTATTCCTACAAAAAAGATTAAATTCTTAATTTTTAAGCAAAAATCTCACCAATGCTAAAATAACTACAAATTGAAATAAAACTTTCAACCATTATATTTTTTTGAGGTTTTCTGCTTTTTCTAACATAATTTCCTTATCAAATGGGTTAGAATTACACTAAAATATTAGTAAAAATATGGATTCATCAAACTCCACAGCAGTGTCAAGGCTGGAATTATGCTGTTAGAGTGCGTCATGCTGAACATTGGTCAGAAAATGGGAATGACCAAGGATGAAATGTACCATACACCAGATATGATAGAGAATGCTCAGTGTCTGCGCTCTTCTGTTTTTAAAGACCTACCAATTTACAAAACTCATTTTTCGCAGCCAGCTGATGAGGAGGTGGAAAAAGAAGAAGAAGAAGAGGAAGATGGAAAAGAAGAAGAAATCTCAGATGATGAGGATGAAGCAGATGAATAGCTTAGGATTTTTCTTTTTCTGTCAGTTAGAATTTTTGTAGATCTTTGTAATTAAGTTTCAAACTCTTTGGAGTTGTAATTTGCACATTTTGGTATATTTTGGTTTAATTTTGGTTATGAATATTTCTGTTTTAAATATCTACTAATTTTGCAGATTAAATGCCTTTTACTTACTAATTGATAAATTTTGGTATTCGGTGCAAAAACTGTCACAATCACACAACACTCAAATACAATAGATGTTGACACCTACACAAGCTGCCATAAAAGGGGGGTTATCTTTACCTTTTGTCATGTGTTAGCTTCACAATACACTGAAAATTTTCAGAAAAACACAAAAATATTAGTATAGAGTTTGAACTGCTTTTTGTGAATTAATTGTATTTTAATTGACAATTCTGTGAATTTTGATTTAATTTTTCTTTTTAAGTTGTTTTTCCCATTCTCAAAATGAGGTCACACTTGTAATTTTCAAAAGGAGACAGTCTTGAGCGAGGTTGCTTCTTGTCTGAGCAAGATCCCTTCTCGCTTGAGAGAGGTTTGTAATGCCCCAATTTTTGTCAATTAGTAAGTAACTCTTAAATCTTAATTATTTGCTAGTTCTGGCTTGATAGTGTCGGAATAATTAGCTAGATGCTAATTTTTTTATTTTTATCTTCTGAAGAGAATATTGACTTGATCTCTAAGTTCTGCATTTTAGAATGACTGCATGCATTATACTTGGCTTCGATATCATCCAAAATTATCCTGGCTATGTTCAGCTGTACTGGCCAAAATACTTTAAGAATCTTGTTCAAAAAGCTAATTTTTGTCTTAATTAAATAATTGAAAAAAATATGATTATTTGTCTCGAAAAACGTGAGATTTAGTAATCACTACATTAGATATTTAATCATTTCTTAGCCGTCAAAATCATTACATGGAATCTCACGAGATCTAGTAATCATTATTTTAAAGATTTCCAAATCTAATATCTGCCACTAGATTTTCATGCAAAATATTCTTGTCTCATAAATCACTGACATCATAATTACCCGAATCTTCCAAAATCTAGTATCGGCCACTAGAATTACATGCAAGAAATTCTTGTCTCCCGATTTGCAGACATAATCATTTTGGAACATTCTTGTCTTGTCTTCCAAAATGCCAACACCATGATTATCTTAATTAATTGTCTTTCTTGAAATTAGCACCATGTCAAATGTCTAATCCACATGTCAACCTAGTCATGTCACATTCTTTTCTGGCATCAAAATTCATGCATTTGCTGCCCAAAATCTTACCCTTGGAATTTGTGCATGCAGCCTTAAACCATTCCATGCATTTTGCTTGCTAAAAGTGTGTAGACTTTGCTTGCAAGTCTCCCTAAAATTCACTATTCCCACTTGAAAAACTGTGACACCCTTTTTCTTGTACCATTTTCACCAATGCCACTCCAATTTTACCTCAATTTAACCGTGTGAGATTTGGAACTTGCAAACCTTGTCTAGCAAGCCAAAATCATAAGTGTCAAATTGCAATTGGCAATTAACACATTGACCCTCCATACAAATTGATTTCCTTATTTCTTTTTCCCATTTTGTTGCCAAAGAACTGAGACCTCTCTCTCTTTTCTCTCTCACACTTCTCATTCTCCTAACAACTCTCATTCTCTCAAACTCTCTCAAAAGAACTGAGAGGTTCCAACCCCAAAACCTCATCATCCTTCAATTGAACTCTTGCAAACACTCCACCATTTCTTCACCAACAACTTCCTCCATCATTCCTTTAAACTTTCGTGTTGAAGAAGCTTGTCTTGGAGGAAGAACTCAAAATCTTTGGTGTTGTTTTCTCGGTCCAGCAAGCATCCTTTAGAGATCCACAATTTCCAGCCCTTTTCTCTTTCATTTTACGTCTCAAACTCAAAATCAAGGGGGAGTTCTCACTTTCTTACTCTTGATTTGCTTTCTCTTGGCTGCACTTTTGATAAACTCTTGAAAAGATTATGTTTTTATCTTCAATGACTTTGAACAAGTTGAAATTACTCTTTGCATGTTGAGTTTTCCATCTTGTACTTCACTTTTATTGCCTCTAAATTCTCAGTTTTGTGCTTGGATGAGGTGAACCCTTTGTAAGTTTGAATTTTTATTAATTGCATG